TCCCTCTCCCAGAGCTGAAATTTTCAGGGAATGTTCCCAACCCACTTACGTCTTAAAGTTACCGAATTCAGCCTCCAGTCGTGCGTGGTCCTCGTGCACGGGCGCTTAAATTTTTGGCGGGAAATTACTAATTGAACGGATGGGTCATTTTCAAAAAACGACCGATAAACGGATATCGTTTATTTTTTTTATGAAAAATTTACGATGAGTTACGGTATTGAGGGCACAGGGTAGGTGTAAAGAAACAACCACTTATGCAGTTAACCCAATTATTTCAAGTCTGGTGCAAAAATGCATGATCGCACCGGCTCGCCTGGTGCGTTCCAGCCTGGGTTTTTCTAGTGAGCGCTAGTCCACTGAAAAACCCAGGCTGGAACACACCAGGCAAGCCGGTGCGAGCATGTGTTTTTCCTCAGCTTTTACGCAGGTTTCACTCAGAAGTAAGTGCATTTTGCAGCGAACGACCGCCCTCATCCTCTCCCAACATCCAGTTCCAGTTCTTCACTGAAAAGTGGGAATGTTGCTAGAGCGTCAAAAAATCCAAATTGTAAATAAACTGGATGTTGGGAAAGGATGAAGACGGTCGTTCGCTACAAAATGCACTCGTTTCTGAATTTGTGGTAAAGTTGAGTATTTCTCATACCCATCTGCAGGGAATTTCACTTCCAAGCTGAATTAGGACCACATGTGAACACAGAATATCCTTGCAAAGTTTCAGCTTTGCAACCTTTCTGATAAGCGGAATAGCCATTTCGCCACAAATATCTTTAACGTGCCCTAAGTCGTGGCGCAAGTGCAAAGCGGGACTCATTTTAGGCATATGCTTTTCCATATGAGTGGCAAATACTCTGACAAAATTTCAGGTACTGTTTTCTACCTAGTTTTCGAGCTACCACAGTGCCAACTGCGGACTTTGACATGACCGTACGCGCGCTGTAATCGCGCGCGATAACTGAATTTGAAATCTTTAGCTCACACTTGCACAAAGAATATCCCAGCAAAGTTTCAGCTTTCTATCTTGTATAGTCCTCGAAATCATTTCTCGCCCATGAAATTTGCATATTTTTTTCGGGGTCCGTACGCGAAATCTAGGCGCGTATGAGCGAGGATTTTAAAACGCGAGGGTGATGCATGGGGTTAGAAAACGATCCCAAACTTTTAGTCTCCCAGCTTTCTGGGTTGCTGAGTTGAACGTAAGTGACAAAGTTCATTCGCTTCCTAACACACACAAACACACGCACGGACGGCCTCTCGACAATATGCGTTTTGTTCACTGTAGCAGCGCCATAGTGCTGCAAAGCGAAAACGCATAAAAATTCGTTTAAAAATATGTGTGTTTGTCAGTACAAGCGAGTGTGTGAGTAGCAAGAGAAAAGAGAGAAGGGGTTACGAACGGAGCTATGAAAAAAGGTTAGGTACTATCTTTTTGAACATAAAAAAATTTGTTCAATTATACAGCGCTTTAATATTTTATTCATTACTCTTGCGTTTTTTGCATCTGTGTAAACTGAGCCTAGGTAGTAAACTGCACTGAATTTGCCGGTGCGATCACGTGTCTTTGCACAAACCTTGAAAATTCAGGCCAAGACTAGTTATCTTTATAATTTAACATATGGATCCATGTTTGCAATGTTTTGTCTTTTCTCGCATGTGTGGGAAAATGACGTCGATCGGGACGATAGCGTTGCATTATTTAGCTATAAGACACGCCTAGGTCTCCCTGCGTCTGGCACATGCAAAAGCAGAAGCTCATTTTATGTTTTTTGGGCCGTATGCGTACACGAAACATTATTGCAAAGTCGCAGCTTCCTACTCAGTCTGGTTGCAGAGTTAAATGGGTGCGAAGTTGTCGATTTTAATGACACTTATCGTGAGACCTAGGCGTGCCTTACAGCTAAATTTGAAATCTTTATGTCGCATTTGGAAGTAAAATATCCTTTCATAACTTCTGTTACTAGCTTATCTGACTCCCGAAATCCCTTCTTCGCTACAAACATTTTCGAAATCTCCTTATATGAGAATTTGGCGTAAGTAAACGCTGATTTTATAACGGGGCGATATGGATAGGGGTGTGGATTTGAAATAATGGAGAGCTGGAGGTGGGGAGTAGAAAAAGAGAAAAGGACTAAATTCCAAGAGAGACAGAATGTTTCGAAGGTGAGTATGCGCTTAAGCTTGCTCAGCAGCAAGCACGTACTAAACGAAAGTGTACAAGAAATGCGTTCTCGCGGCGACCCGTTTGTGCAAATCATTGTTTGCTATGGTAAATAATTGGTCAGCGCACCGGCTGCCAGTGTGAAGATGCGTTTTTTATGCGTTTTTGCCTATATGCAAATTGCAAAAACGCATATTGGGACGACCCTGTCTGTATGTGTATGTATGTGTGTGTATGTTTGTGTGTGTGTGTGTGTATGTGTGTGTTCGTCTATCCGGGTATTTCAACTCGGCAACCAAGCAAGTTTCAGCGCCGAGATTTTGCTAATGGGTACCCCGGAAAGTACCACCCCAGAACCGCGGTACCATCCCTCTCGCACGTCTGGGCCCCGCGTACGAGAAGGGGAAAGTTTTGACGGGAAAATTCATAACTCGAGAACGGAAAAAGATAGAAGGCTGAAACTTTGG